TAATATATGTGTGTTTGTGTGTATATGGGTGTGTGTGTGTGTGTGTATATATGTTTGTGTGTGAGTATATATATATATATATATATTAAAATGCACACACACACCCACCCACACACATATATATGTATATATATATATACATGTCGGCTCAAATCAAGAATCAACCAGCTAAAATTGATTTTTTTTGGTTTTAATCATGAATCTGAATTTCTTTCAGGTTTTCATGGTCCGCACACCTATGCTACATGCATGGCATGAAGAGTCCATCTAAATCGTATTGTATCATATTCCCATTAGTTCTAGGCTGATTATTAATGTGCGTACGTCTATCGCACTTTTTTCGAGTAGGAGTTCCAAATTAGTTTACGTATTTAAACAGGATCGTAGGCAGCGGGAAAATAGATAATCGAAAGATTGTTGATGTTTCATACTATCATGTGATACATACTGGGTCGTTGTGATATTTCTGTACCTCCGTCGTATTGGAGTGATATCTGCTCCACAGTAAAGATTATATATTTTTATAAAACTATCACATGTTTGAGGGCCCTATAATTGAGTTTTGAATTTCTCACCAAATTAGAGCTAAAAGGATCAAGTCAAAGGAAACTTTTTTTTCTCATACTATCACCCTGACTACAATATGTATTTGGTCATCTGGTGCCTGTTCGTAGTATACATTTACCATACTATCACCATGACTACGATAGGTGTTTGGTCATCTGGTGCCTGTTCGTAGTATACATTTACCATACTATCACCATGACTACGATATGTGTTTGGTCATCTGGTGGCTGTTAGTAGTATACATTTACCATACTATCACCATGACTACGATATGTGTTTGGTCATCTGGTGGCTGTTAGTAGTATATATTTACCATACTATCAACAAAATGGATTTTGCCACACAGTGTGCAGGGCGATCATATTTGATTTTTAATACATACCTCGTACTATCACTATAGCTAATATCAACGGGACGCGTTTATTTGCGTTCTATCACCATAACTAATATCTATGGTACGCGTTTGTTTATTTACTATTACTATAGCTAATACCTATAGTACGCGTTTGTTTGTTTACTACTACTATAACTAATAACCTATGGTATGCGTTTTGTTTGTTCACTATCACTATAACTAATACCTATGGTACGCGTTTGTTTGTTTACTGTCACTATAATTAATACCTATGGTACGCGTTTGCTTTTTTTTTAATCTAGAGAGTCGAGAACCTCCGCCAAAGAGTTCGCTCAGGGCCTGCGAGACGAAGTCGTCGACGTCTACGTAAAGCTGAGATCGATCATTTCCCAGCTCTAGTGGGAGCTAACAAGGTGAGATGTTTGCATTCACGTTTACGTTTACTTCGTAGTCGAATTGACGTGTATGTAAATATATATTTATTTTATTGTCACCTTCGTAAGGCTGAGATCGATTGTTACCCTGCTCTAGTGGGAGCTAACAAGGTGAGATATATGTACGTTTACGTTTACTTCATAGTCTGATCTACTTATATATACGTAAATATTTATTTTGTTTGTGACCCTCACAAAGCTGAGATCGATCATTTTACCGCACTAGTGGAATTCAACAAGGTCAGATATATATTTATGTTTATTCCACAGTTTAATTTACATATTGTGTATACATATTTATTTATATTGTTGGTACCTCTTGCCTAGCTGCCATCGACCATTTGCCCACTTTAGAAGAGCTTATGTGGTTATGTGGTGGGTCATGTATATATGCACTTCACAGTTTGATTTACGTATTTGTGTATACTTTCGGATCTATTCTGTCTGTAACAGACAATTCTGAAATTGAAATTGGTCACTTCGCTGCTCTAGCGGGATCTCAAACGGTGAATAGGTTTACGTTTATTTTACAGTTGAACTTAGGTATTTTTGTATACTTAAGTATCCATTCTGGTACGTGACGCTCACAACGCCGAAGTCGATCACTTCGCTGCTTACGAGTATCTTATGAGACCACATAATTTTACCTTTAAATTTCAGTTAATTTTATCTGTTTCCGTGTGCATTTGTAACTTTTTGCAAAGCCTAGTTTCCTTCTCCCCGGCCTAGTCGGAAATATTGGGGCAGGGTATGTCTATATCCACACAAACACTCCATTTGCGTACAAAGTATATACCTAAGCACCTACGTCACCCTAACTCTCATCTGTACTCACACAGACGGACACTCCCGTGTTCTTCGCCGAGTGCGCATCCGCCGCCCCCACGCCCACGCTGCAGTCGCTTACGTACAAGAAGAACTACACCAACTACTGCGAGGCAGTGGAGTGTGGTATCGAGCTCACTCAGGCTGTTGCCGATGTGCAGGCATTAGTACCACGACGCATAGCCCCAGCGTTTGTCCCTACGTCCAGGCATACGTTCATGAACAAGCACGTGGCAGCTGGATCAAAACGTACACGTGCAGAGAGGAAGACTCGTGGCGAGGGTATGCACATACCTTGTCTTAAGCGTAAAGTACCTCAGATGCTGTCTCACGCACACATCGCCAAGCGTGTGGCGGGTGTGTCAGAGTCAAAGGCTGTGGCTAAGAACACGACCGATGGGAAGGGAAAGCGAGCGACGTGCTTTGGCGGTCGACCTATTCACCACAAGTCTCTGGCCAATCAGCAACTGCATGACCGCATCCGCAGACTTAAGGGTGTACGAAGGTATGTGAGTGTGAGCGTGTGTATACGTATGTACTTAAAGTATATCTGTATATATATCTATATATTCACATCTGAGTGAGATATATATATTGTAGAATCATATAAAGGTAAAGCGAGCGACGTGCTTTGGCAGTTGACCCCTTCCCTACAAGTCTCTGGCCAATCAGTGGCAGCATGATCGTATCTATAGACGTATCCGCGTACGAGGTATGTGTGAGTGTGGGTGTATACGTATGTACTTTTGAAATACGTATGGGATAAACCCGAGTATGTATACATACACCCAACCTAACCCGCGACTTACTTCTATTACACACAGCAATGCGTACAGTCTGGGACGAAGCAAACTGGACCGTTTCTTGCGAACTGCGCGCAGACACCAATACATGGCTACTATGAGCATGGAGCCAGTCTGGAAAACTCTGGCTCTCACATGGGTATGTGCTGAGTGAGATATTACATAGAGTTGTGCGAGATGTGTATTTGTTTATTGTTTTTTTTGTTGAGTTGTTGCATATGTTTAATGTATATATATATATATATATATCTTATATATTGTGTGTATTCGTAGCTGAGAATTTGTCCTATCCGACTTAAACCTGTTGCCTCTCCAATTTAGTCTTATTTAGAGGTCTGTAGCATACACTATTCTTTTAGTAATTCTTTTAATACCTGATCTCTTACACGGTGATCTTGTCGGCAAGCTATGTCTATTTGGTGTGCTCTAGAGTGTGTAAGATGGTGAGTTTGTCAACAGTTGGCGTTGTTAGGCGAAACATGTTTGTTAGTATGTGTTTGAATATCGCATCCCGTTGAAACTGGAGGTACATACACTAAATCCCTGAAAACTCTAAAAAATCTCATTTCTTTCTGGGCTGTGATTCAAAATAAACTCGGCTTTTTTTATTGGCTTCTTGTTAAAAAATTGTCACATCTGTTCTTTTGTTAAACTCAGGCCTATGATCAGCAACGATCAACACCCACCACGGCATCGTGCGCATCCGATGCAACTCACACACCCATCAACGGGGTGGCCTTCACATCCAGACCGGATATGTTCTGTTAAGAACAAACATGCATCTACAGTATACCTATACATACATAGATACATCCATATACACTTCCGTATAAACACACAGACATGAACACGCACATATACACACACATCAATATGAGTCCAAATAAGATCAACATCACAATAACCCCGTCGTTTGACGAGGTTAGAGCCTTGACACAAACCGGAAACTGTGTCCCTGTGTTTGCATCGGAACAATCCGATCAACTCACACCTGTCTGCGCCTTCCTCAAGCTTGGATTAGAGGCTAAATACGGCTTCCTGCTCGGTATGTCATGCTTAAGTTTACAGAACCAATACATGTATTTTTGTATATATATATGTATTATACATGTTAGGTATCTATGTATATATAAATATATCTTTATATACACATATATATATATGTACATGTATATTTATATATATGTATATATGTATATATAGCCAATCTGGTGTATTTGTACTGATTTCTATATCTGGATTTCAAATTGATCAGCTTCTCTTTTGATGATTTTTGGTTTCATTCGCTTCGATAATCCTTTCCGGTACTCGATCTAGTGTCTGCCGCGAGACCACCGCAATCCTGACTCCCATATACGGTAACTTTCATTTTTGGCGCACAGAATCCGTGTCTGGAGGTGAGCAAATCGGACGGTATTCCTTTGTCGGCAGCAATCCATACGACGTTGTAGCATGCACAGGTACAGACCCACTAACTACGGTGGAGGATAAGCTCAAGAACATCCGCTTCAAGGAGGTCAAAGGCCTGCCCTGTCTGACGGGAGGGGCTATTGGGTAGGTCTAGAGGTTTATATTTGTGTTTAAGTATGCGTGTGGTGGTGTTTGTGTGGTATGCACATTGTTTGTGGGCTGCAATCCGTACGACGTTGTTCTGTATATTAAAAACATATTATATGTATACATAGATATGTTATATATGAAATATGTATGTTGTGTATGCTATGTAGGTATATTCTTTATTATGTAGGTGGCTCATATCGTACCCTCACATTCCCATACAGTTACATCGGCTTTGACTGCATTCACTCGTTCGAGCCCAAAACCGCTCGACCTCTGCAGGACGATCTTAAAGTGCCTGACTCTATCTTCATGTTCTGCGACGAGTTGGTTGCCTTCGATAGAGCGAAGCAGACGCACCAGGTTAGTATGCGCATGCATCTTTAGAAAGAGTATCTTGTTACAATGGTGTATTCTGATATATGTGTATTTGTTTATATATCTACGTCTCTATATGTTTCTAGATATGGATATATTTATATTTGTTAAAAGATCTATGTTTCTAGATAGATATGTATATATTGATATATCTATGTTTGTTTATATATCTATTTCTCTGTGTGTTTCTAGTTAGATATGGATATATTTATATTTGTTAAAAGATCTATGTTTCTAGATAGATATGTATATATTGATATATCTATGTTTGTTTATATATCTATTTCTCTGTGTGTTTCTAGATAGATATGTAGATATTGATATAATTTTATTTGTTCATATATCTATGTCTCTATATGTTTCTAGATAGATATGTATATATTGTTCTTTTTGGCATCTGTTATTTTCTGTGGACTGTGCGTAGCTTCGCTTAGTTGTACACATGTGTATATAGTTGTGTGCTGTTTCATCTTGTCCTAAAATCGCGCGTGTTTGTTCTTTTGTGTTTCGAATAAGTCGAGGCGTACACATATCTAGCCAGTCCTTTGCTCAAGCGTCTTTGTACAGTATCATGACTACGGGCGTGGGAATCAAGCCGTATAAATTTACCTGCACGCATGTATATACGTGCGGATGCCTTTACGGGCACAAGCTCCCTTCCACACACAACCAAACTCACCCACACCGCCCACCCATGTTTCAGTATTGGTTGCGAATTATCTCACTAGCACACTATAACGTTTTAGGGTTTAGGGTATTGTGCTAAACCCTAAACCATGTGCCAGAACCCTGTTTATGCACTATGTAAGCACACTATTACGTTTTAGGGTTTAGGGTACTGTTCAGCCATATGTACAAGGTACTAGCACACTATACCGTTTTAGATTGTAGGGTTTAGTCCAGCCATATGTACAAGGTACCGAACTGACACGCGCCATCCGTGCTACACCGCAGGTCATCTCCCACATCCGGTTCGAGGGTGACTCCATCAGCGACGTGCAGTTGCGTGAGCTTTACGACAATGCGACGAGTAAGATCCACGCGCTTGTACGACAATTACGAGACCTTTACACGCCACAGCCCACCCAGAAACCCATTGGGCTGGACAATGTGGGGACGTCCAATATCGGACAAAGCGGCTACGAAGGCCATGTGCACGCACTCAAGAAGCACATTAAGCTGGGAGATATCATCCAGGTGGGTCAATGGCTGTGTGTATGTATGCATAAGATTTCGCTAGGAGGTACCACCCAGGTGTGTGTGTGGGATGGCGTTTTAAATGTGTACTGTGTGAGTTCGAAAGTTCCCTCAATGTAACGGCATTGGATAATCGTTTATGGTAGTGACAGTATCCCAAACGGGTTGCTTTGTTACATCTTGCCTGACCATATATAGACGTTGCCCTGTCAGCTCGTGAGTGAGCTGTAGAACAGGCCAGCGACCAATCAACATTCACCATACAATCTCGCTCGTCCACTCATATATTTATTAATAGAACTGATGTTACAATAAATGCTATTAGTAGAGTCACTATAATAGAACTATTAATATAATTGCTATTAATAGAACTGATATCGATGGAATCGCCATTAATAGAGTTAATATTAATGGAACCGCTATCAACAGAATTGACATTCATAGAACAGCTATTAATAGAAAGTCTGTTAATAGAACTGCCTCGGATGTATTTGGTCTTACCATATTTAAACTGCGCTCAGCCAACACGTGGGTTGACTGACAGTACAGCGCCCAATCAACCTCCACCCGCCCCACATCCCCACCTCCCCCCCCCCCCCCGGATATTCTATTAATAGAACTACCTAATATGGCACCCTCCTTACGATATACAGGCGGTACCAAGTCAGCGCGTAAGCCGACCAACAGATCTGCACCCGTTTAACATCTACCGCATGCTCCGCACCACCAACCCGTCGCCGTACATGTTCTTCATTCATCTTAAAGACTTCCAACTGGTGGGAGCCAGCCCAGAGATGTTGGTTAAAGTAGTCGACCGAGAGTTGGAGACACACCCCATTGCAGGTAAGAGGAGGGTACAGTGTGTCTTGTTGCGTGTGTACAGGTGAGTGTACAGGTGTGTTGTGTGTTGTGTATGTGTAGAGGGAGTGTAAAGGTGTGTTGGGCATGGATGTATAGTTTGTTCTGTCTACGTGGCTATTCGTTGTATGTGTGTACAAAGCTGTTCATTGTATGTGTGTACAGAGTGAGTATTATACCTATGTTAGTTATGTTACTTAAGATGTTAGTCATATCCCGTGCTTTTTGCTATCGACCGTGATCTCTAGACACACCATTGCAGTTAAGAGTCACAAGAGGCCCACGGCGCACATCTGTATCTTTGCAAAACCCTAAAACCCTTAACGCAACTCCATTGGTGGGTACTATAGGCTTCTCAGACTCTCTCCTACATGAATGGTAGAGATCACACTACTTATCATGTCCCTATACCCAGCACTAAGAACAGCGTAGCCGGCACTGTACGACCTTGTATATCAACTAGCACCTCCTTTGCATTGGATACGTATTGCGGCACCAAGAAGTTCAACATGCCTACATTTCCCTTTATAGGCACCAGAAAGCGCGGCGAAACCGATGCCGAGGACAAAGCACTGATGGAAGAGCTGCTGGCAGATACAAAAGAGATTGCAGAGCATGTCATGCTAGTGGACCTGGGCAGGAACGACTCCAACCGCGTGTGCGAACCCGACACAGTCAGGGTATGTCTATATACATATATATATATATGTGTGTGTGTGTGTGTACCTTCTGTTAGTACAATAGTGCGTGCACTGTACCCCATCTATCGTTGACCATACCAGCCAATTGCTATGGTTTTGTAGATGTAGCTCACTTCTGTGTTGATGTACATGCGCCACTCAATGGATTTGCTGAGGTGCACACACATGGTTCAATTGTGTGCGTATGAGCTCCTCCTAACTTAAAGGACATGCGTACACACACACACACTGTTCTTGATTGGCTTTGGGTCTTACATATAGTGTTTAACTATAAAGTGTACAATACTATATTGTGTATAGACTTATATAGTGATAAAGTATATATAGTGCTCAACTATACTTTTAGGGTTTAGAGTTTTAGGGGTTTAAACTATGTGTTCAACTATACACAGTCCCTCGTACGTCATCGACAGCTGGTGTGTACTTATCCTATGTAGCGCGTCACTCACAACCCCACTCACACAATCGAGTACCTATGCTAAAACACACGCACCCACTCAAGTGTATATATCTGTGTGCACACATGACACACGCCGCAAATCACGTACACCCACCGCTTAAGTGCACATACCTACACACACACAACATAACACACACCTCTTATCATGTACACCCACCACTCAAGTGCACATACCTACACACACACAACATAACACACACCACTCAAGTGTATATATCTGTGTGCATACATAACACACACCTCTTATCATGTACACCCACCACTCAAGTGTATATATCTGTGTGCACACATAACACACACCTCTCATCATGTACACCCACCACTCAAGTGTATATATCTGTGTGCATACATAACACACACCTCATATCATGTACACCCACCACTCATGTGTATATATCTGTGTGCACACATAACACACACCTCTTATCATGTACACCCACCACTCAAGTGCACATACCTACACCTAGGCACACACAGCATAACACGCATCTCTTATCATGTACACCAACAGGTGACGTCCTTAATGGGTATTGAGAAGTACTCGCATGTGATGCACATTGTCTCTAAGGTGAAGGGTATGTTGAGGCCTGAGTGCTCTATCTACGACGCTTTCCGCTCAATATTCCCTGCCGGCACTGTGAGCGGTAAGCCATTGCTTTGGTATCTGTATAAACCCAGTTCACGTGCTTTATAAATTCGGTATTGTTATGTGATGTATGTTTATGCTTTTAGTGTATTGTTTTAACCTATGTCTTTCATCAAAACAACTTTTGATCATCTTTGTTGGAGTATATTTGCGATGCCCATATGTATATATATATATATAGGTGTGTGTATTACGTGTATGCGCATATTTCTATACAAATCATAGCCCCATTGCTCTCTTGCCGCTTCTACTAGTACCGCAATTCTCACCACAATTCACTGTATCTCACTGTCCCATTTATGTCATTTTGGGCCTATTGGGACAGGTGCACCCAAAATTAGGGCCGTTCAGCTGATCCAGGAGATGGAGGGCATTAAGCGCCACTTCTATGCGGGTGCCGTGGGCTGGTTTAGTTACAGGTCAGTCAGGCGTACCGTTGGCAATTACGTTTACCTGTACATGATTGTCAAGCACAAAGCATGATGTATATATATATATATGTGTGTGTGTGTAGCATACATGCGCATATATAAAGTATGTGTATGTGTGTACATTTATTTCTACATGACGGATACAGATACATGGCACTAGTGATCACACATGTCTGTATTTAACCTACAAGTGCATAGTATGCGTGTATATAACCGTGTATGTGCTTATCTGTTCTGTATTTTTATACGTACATGTGTAGTTGTGTATTTGCGTATAAATTGAGCCATTAGCTTCTCCAGTGCTAACATTCTGTCATATACGTGTGCGTATATATATATGTATGTGTGTATTTATCGCTGGTTGCTCCTATACTAACATGCTACTATCATCCGTTTATATACGTGTGCTTGTTTATGTATATATGTATAGCAATCGCTGGTTTCTCCTCTACTAACATGCTACTACCAACCGTCCATACCTACCTACACACCCACAGAGGAGATACAGACACGTGCATTGCTTTGCGTACCATGATGTGTCAGGATGGAGTGGCTTACCTACAGGCAGGTGGAGGTATTGTGTTTGACTCAGACCCCACGGCTGAGTACGAAGAAACGGTTCATAAGATGAAGTCCAATGATGACGCCCTGAGGCGTGCCGAGATCTACTTTAAGGAGTACCTGAACTGCTAGGAGCAACATTCCGGAGTCAACGAGAGTAGGTTCTATAAATAGAACACTGTAAGAGATATACCACGAGTACCTGATCAACATGAGTCATACACCGAATCAGAATAACACTATGGACAACCCACCACACACCACGGGCACTGCTACCACCACAATTACGCCTAAGCCACGCGTGTTGTTGATTGACAACTACGACAGCTTCACGTGGAACGTCTACCAATACTTACGCAAATGCGGCGCAGAGGTCATGGTGCACCGCAACGATATGATCACCGTCGAGGAGTGCGTCGCACTGAAGGTGTGTAGGATGATGTATATGTTTGTATACATGTGTATGTCGTCTTTATATATGTATGTGTATATATATATTTATATACGTACGTATATAAATTTATATATATATACGTATATAAATATATATCTGTATGTTTGTGTGGGGATGTATGTGGACGTATATTATGTTTGTATTGTTGTACATATAAGTATATATATATATCAACCTCTTCCCTCTCCTCTTCATCTCCAGCCAACACATGTTCTGGTGTCCCCTGGGCCAGGCCATCCATCAACTGACGCGGGAGTCTCGCGAGCGGTGATTTCACACTTCTCAGGTAATAGTAATTTCAAACTGTGTACACAACTCCTCCCAAGTCAATTGTCTGTGCACATAACTAACTCTATATAAACCACTGTGTGAAAAGGAATATCGTTAAAATATAAATGAACTGGACGTGCTTAACTTCGTGTAAATAAATTATTCATACGTAAATAGTTTATAGAGGATTTCCGGGCTTTATGCACAGAATGTGTTTGGTTGGTGTTTATGTACATGATGTGTTTGGTTGGCGTTGCTTTTTCTCCACTTGACTGGTGTGTCCCTGTGCACAAGTACGCACATTGAGTATCATAGTGCGGACTGCGACCAACAGTTCATGCACAAACACTCCATGCATACCATGTTGTACACTCACTCACTGTCTCTCTATGGGCAATATATCTTATCCAGCCTCATCACTCACATAAATAAACACGCCATGTATACTATGTTGTACACACTCGCTCTATTGGCGAGATACGTATACACCCTCTTTACGCACACGCATAGCCTGCCTTCCCATTGCCCACCAACCATGCCACACACACAGACATCGACCTCCTTCCTATCGTATTTAACCACATGCCTACTCTCCATGTATATGTACAGGCAAGGTGTCATGATAACTATCTACTCCTTTTAATCCCTCACCTACTCTCCATGTACATGCACAGGCAAGGTGTCATGACAATTATCTACCCCTTTTAACCCCTCACCTACTCTCCATGTGCATGCACAGGCAAGGTGCCCGTGTTTGGTGTGTGTATGGGTCTGCAGTGCATGTACGAAGTCTTCGGAGGCGATGTGTTGTATGCCGGAGAGATTGTTCATGGTAAGGTGTCGCCTATCACACACGACGGCCGGGGCTGCTTTAAGGGCGTCTCACAGGTATGTGTTGGCGTGTGTATAGCTCTATGCTCTGTTCGTCTTACTTAGAAAGAATACCATGTGTGTATATGGATATAGCGTGCATAGTAGTTGAGAATGGGTATATGCATGTGTGTTACTGTGTGTGTGTGCTAATGTAGTTGGTGTGTGCGTGCATGGATATAGTGGGCGTAGTAGTTGATGGTTAGGTATATGCATTTATGTTACTGTGAGTGTATGCTACTGTAGTTGGTGTGTGCATGCATGGACATAGCGTGCGTATTAGTAAAGTATTTGGTATATGCATGTGTGTTACTGTGTGTGTATGCTAATGTACAGCAACGTGTAGCGTGCGTGTAGTGCGCACGGCCGTGGCTACAACTAAGGTTTTTCACCGGTATGTGTTGGTGTATGCATACCTCCATGTTTTGTTCCTCCATGTTTTGTTCGCCTGACTGAGAAAGAATACCATGTGTGTACATGGATATAGCGGGCGTCTTGAATGCGGATTAGGTACATGCGTCTGCCTGTCTTACCGGGTGCTTATGGATAGCAACGTATGGACTACCACTAAACCCTAAAAGCCTATAATGATGGCTGCGGTTATTGGAGGGGTGTCTCACAGGCACTCACACGTGCATTACATACAACTATGTATGTCTGTACATAAGTACGTACGCGTATGTACATAGGTACATACACGTGTGTTGTATACAACTATGTACATAGGCACATACACGTGTGTTATATACAACTATTTATATATGTACATAGGTACGTACACGTGTGTTGTAAACTACTATGTATATATTTTCTTATATAAATACACATGTGTTATATAAACTGTACACGCATGCAATTGAACATACGAGTTGTTTACTGGGCAGGCGTATACCACTCGCTACCTGTTACTACTGCAAATGTCTTTGCGCCGTAGAGGTGACAGCTACAGCAGCCAATCTATATGGCTCATTTATATTTATATAGCACAGGCATCTCATACCAAACTACACTACCCCACAAGACTGTTTTCCCGCTCAGCATACATCCACACACACCCCCTCACCTGTGCCTCTGTTCTCTCTATCCACAGGACATTAACATCACGCGCTATCACTCGCTATCTGGTGATGCTGCTAACGTCCCTGAGTCTCTGGCTGTAACAGCCGCCACAGCCAATGGCATCATCATGGCTGTGCGCCACAAGGAGTTGTGTGTGGAAGGAGTGCAGTTCCACCCCGAAAGCATCCTCAGTGAACAGGTAAAACTAGTGCATATATATATATGTATATATATACGCCAAATCTCAGTTTTTGTATTGTTTTTCCTTGGTTATCTGTGTGCCGGATTCGAGCATCTATGGCATTATTTCTGTACCACAAGTAGGTCTATGTTATTGTATATGTCCCTAGTATGTTTGCCCAAAGAATTCATGTGTTGAACGAGGACAGTCCTGTCTCCGAAAGTACTCTCAGTGACCAAGGGTTTAGAGTTTTAGGTAAAACTGGTGCAGATATGCCCTATTTCGGTTTTGGCCCATCCCGCTCGTCTATTGAGTTGCTTCTGTACACGGAGTTGCCAAACCAACCTACTTTCAAACACAAATCCTTGCTGAAAATAGGCTTTTGGGTTTGTTCTCAAAACTTTCTTATCTGAGTCAATCTACCCTCGCTCGACAAAGGCATATATATGTGTTTGTTGCCATAGCGCCTCAACCCATATATCCGACATTATTATCACACCATAAACACCCACCATGTATGTATGTTTATATATATGTGTGTGTGTATATTTACGTATGTATGTATGTAAACAACCTCATTCTCACCCACCTTACCCTCTTCTCTACACACAGGGCATGGATATGTTCGTCAACTTCCTCAGGTACACTGCCGGTACCTGGGCCGACGAGCCAACCTACAACCACAAAGTAGGCGCGGGTGTCACGGGCAAGGCAGTGGCAGATGATGCGCACGGGGGAGATGCCGCTTTGCGTCAGTGTCTGAAGACGATCTCAGAACCACCTCATAGTATTCCTAACACAGAGGTGTGTGTGTGTTACGCTTGTTTAGGGTTTGGTTTGTACATGTGTTGATTGATGTGTTTTATATATGTGTGTAGTGTGTGGCTAGATGTAAATATATTCGGTTGTATGTTGATATGCATGTGTTTTTGTATTTCAAATTTATCTGTCTGTATCTATGTTCAAATTTCATCTGTTGTTAATATTTATATACATGTGTCTCTATATGTAAACCGTATCCATTGTATATGTCTATATATACATCTATTTTTAAACTTTTATCTGTCTTTATTATTTATGTGTATATATATATAGGTATGTATATATGATAAACTTTCGTATACAATCATACTAAACCTTCCTACCACCAACCCCACAGGTATTCGGTCTAGCCATGGACCACATCCTAGCCAACGAGGCCACTCCAGCGCAAATCGCGGGTCTTTTAATGGGCCTAAAAATGATGGGCGAGGACAGTACCGTCATGGCATGTATCAGTGAGCGTGTGCTGGCTAAATGTCGTCCGTGTACACTCACTACTGATGATGTGGTGGTGGATATTGTGGGCACCGGAGGAGACGGCCACGACACCTTCAACGTGTCGACTACTGCTGGTATCGTTGTGGCCGGTGCGGGAGTCAAGGTATGGCGTGTGTGTGTGTGTTTGTTTCAAGTGTATGTGTGTGTGTGTTTGTTTTAAGTAGCTGTGTGTGTTTGTTTTAGTGTCTGTGTGTGCGTTTGTTTTTAGTGTCTGTATGTGCATTAGTTTCTGTATCGCCTTGCCTCTGTGTGTGATGTGTGTATGTATTTGGTTCCGTGGCCCTCGTCACCGGTATATACTAGTTAATTGTGTTTATATTTATGTTTATATATATATTTATATTTACATACCCATTTTCACACACACACACACAGGTTGCGAAGCACGGCAACAGATCGGCATCCAGTAAATGTGGGTCCGCCGATGTGCTAGAGCATTTGGGTGTGAATATTGGCATTTCGCCCCAAAAAGCGGCGCACATTGTGGACCATGTGGGCTACTGCTTCTTGTACGCACCCACATACCACCCGAATCTCAAGAGCGTGGCTCACATTCGCAAGGAATTGGGTGTCAAGACGATTTTCAATATCTTAGGTAGGTAAAGCCTGTGGCTTTTTTCATATCTTCTGACTTGTTTGGAATACGGAACTGTTTGTGAGTGTCTCGGCGTGTATCCGGGATTGTGTGCTTGTCGCATATATATATTCATTCTTTTATTTAATTATTTCTTTGTTTATATATATATGTGTGTGTGTGTATGTATCTATGTATATATTATTTTATATTATATTATACACTTATATATATGTATATGTGTATTATATACTTGTATGTTTTAGCCCTTTCTCTATATGTACCCTGTTCTCTACAACACTAAAACTATAAACCCAAACCTCCACCAGGTCCTATGATCAACCCCGCCAATCCGCACTACGGCATCGTGGGTGTGTACCATCCCCGCATTGGCATGATGATGGCCGAAACACTTGTTAAAAGGGGTCTAATTAGGGGTCTCGTGGTGTGTGGGCGCGAGTGCCTGGACGAGATAAGCATCAGTGGCCCTACCGATGTGTGGGACATCAAGAACGGCCAGATCACTGTCAGCGAAATCACACCAGAGGACTTTGGTATGTGGCTCTGGCTACGGTACAGTGCATAGAATATGCACGTGGATATGTGTGTATTCATGTATATATATGTGTGTGTGTGTATTACTTGTCGTGTGGGGCTCAACAGATGTGTGGGTTTAAAACATACTTGTGCCTGCTGGTTTACCTCGGCATTTTATTCCCAGCGTGAGCGCCGAAACCCCTAATATGGCTTTATTTTTACTCGGACTTTTATATTTAGGTTTGCCACGGCATCCCATGAGTGCTGTATCCGGGGGCGGACCCAGTGAGAACGCAGAGACACTGCGAGCGATCGTCTCAGGCGAGTACGAAGGGCCTGAGACTGACTTTGTGCTCATAAACGCAGCAGCGTTGTTGGTTGTAGCGGGGAAGGCTAATACATGGAGAGAGGGTGTGCAGGTGGCACGAACGGCTATACGGGAAGGGAAGTGTAAACAAGTACTAGATACCTATGTCAAGGCGACACAGGACGAGTGAGTGTGTGTAAGTATACGGACGGAAAGAGTGCTGGGCTGCGGACAGAAACTGTCGGAGGAAGAAGGATATTGGACACAGGAATACCATATATACACAACTAATCAACATACAACACATACACCCACATAGGAATAGACACAACTAATCAACATACAACACATACACCCACATAGGAATAGACACAACTAATCAACATATGAATAGACACCACTAGTCAACATACAATACATACACACTTGCGCATAGGAATAGAAACAACTAGTCAACCCGGATTCATCAGCTTACTAGAACAAACGGAAGCCGAGAGAGAAGTGAGTGCACGGCACCAGGGCACCCAAGCCATACGACACAGACATACACAACACAAAACACGCATAAACACAAACACGCACACATAAAACACAAACACCTTACAAAACGTACCAACAAGACGTATCAACAAAACGTACCAGCACACAGCCGCCCATACGGTTTATCTCTGATACTGACAAGATGGCGACTGAAAATATTCTAAACAAAATTTACGCGACCAGAAAGGTATGGGTTATGATGTTGCCGCGACAGAATACACAGTTTTTAACGTGCATGTGAACTAAGTTATTGTACCTGATATACTCGTGGTTGATGGTGACTTGGAGATGACAAAGTGTGCGTTGGTTATTCTTTGAGCCATCTGTCCTGTGTATGTTGCCATTGATCCGTGTATTTTAGAACGTGCACGTGAATACGTACGTTGTTACATCTTTTCTCGGATAGGGTCTACAAGTGTACAGGTGGTTACTTGCAGGTGCTAAATGTGTTTTTATACGTAGGCTGTTTAGGCCAACGGAATAAATGTGTTTATATATGTGACAGTCAGTACACGCCTCATTAGCTTTGAAGTTGATACGTATGTATGTGTTCTTGCGTTTATATGTATGTATATATCTGTGTTTATCTGTGCCCGTGTGCTTTTATTGACATAATTTGCTTTCATTTACATATATAGGGTTTCTGAGTTTCAGACTTTTTTGCGCTCACTTTGTCACATATAAGGAGCACCCCGCGCGCGCCCAAGAAACTGCAACAGCGGAGTTCGTACAAGCACTTATAGTCAACCCAGCCACACAAACTGCTTCCGATGCACCAATTCATCACCAGAAGTTTCCCAACCATGTTTATTTCTCAAGCTAAACCAAGTTTATCGCGCACTCGCATCTCAGGAGGACCTCGCGCGCACCCGAGAAACGGTATCCGAGTCCTTTCTGCAAGCCCTCATAGACAACCCAGCCACCAGCTTCTCATGCGTTAACTTTGCAGACCGACTCCGCAAAGGACGAGCCACGCGCAAGATGGCGTGTGTGGCTGAAGTCAAGCGAGCGTCTCCCAGTAAGGGAGACTTCGCACCCAACGCTGATGCGGCTGCACAAGCGTATCGATATGCCTCTGGTGCGTATACTGTGTGCGTGTGTATATGTTTACATATATTGTATATGTTTACATATATTGTATTTATATGTATATGTTTACATACAGTATATATGCACATATGTATATGTACGGATGTACATAAACTTGTATAAGAAGATTGTAGACGTAGATAGACTTCGGTCAGGTACTCTGAAGGTCGCGTGTGTTGCAGAGATGAAGCGTGCGTCTCTCAGTGGATGCGCATACGCTAGCCTACGTACTTGTCTTGCGTATTTACACGTAGATTGGTTATGGTGTGCTGTCTGTATGTATTGTGGTATTTGCTGTTATATGTCATGGTATGTGTTTGTACGTACTTGTCTTGCGTATGTACATGTAGATTGGTTATGGTGTGCTGTCTGTATGTGTTGTGGTATTTGCTATGTTATATGTCATGGTATATGTTTATATGTACTTGTCTTGCGTATGTACATGTAGGTTGGTTATGGTGTACTGTCTGTATGTGTTATGTTGTGGTATGTGTTAGTGTATATGGTTCGCACTGGTCCATATGTGCTCGTCTGTGTGAGTTGTAATAGTTGATAATCCCCTTAGGGGTGCATATGTGTAATAGGCATATCTAAAACCCCAAACCTTGAACCCTAAATCCTAAGGACAACTTCACACCGTTCCCATAAAACCCGCTTTCTGCTTCCACTCACTCATTTCGTTATAACCTCACGAGCGCCAATCAAACCCGACCGTTGCACTCCGCTCGACCAATCAGAATCGTTCTATTTCTTTCTCTCAATCGATCAAATCGCCCCATTATACACTATCTCAGGTGGTGCTGATGGCATATCGGTGCTAACTGAACCACGGCACTTCAAAGGCCAACTGGCTGATCTCAGAGCCGTGCGCGCCATGCTAGAGGACACTATGTAAGTGTATTTTATATGTGTATGTATATATATTTATATATGTATATATGCCTATCTGCTTTCAATCTCTAAAGTGTATCGTATGGTAGCGTACCGTTTCATCTGTCATCTAAAACATGTTCGTATTGAACTCCTGCACTCACGTTACTTGTTACTTGTTTGTGCTATAAGCGGTATGTCCTTCCAACGTGGTGCATATCCAACTCAACCTCAGAAGTATTCATGCCCAGCTCTTGTGTAGCTAATACAGTCGCTATATATATATATGTGTGTGTGCAGATACTTACCACTACCCACTACCACCCCCTTCAACTTTATAGGACCAGCGATACACGCCCATGCGTGTTGCGCAAAGACTTCATCTTCGACCCTTTCCAGTTGCTTGAAGCACGCGCATACGGGGCAGATAGCGTGCTTCTGATCGTCAAGATGCTCTCAGACACCCTCCTCCGCAGTTTGCTGGAAGACGCTCGTAAGCTGGGCATGGAGCCATTAGTTGAGGTGAACAACACAGAGGAGATGCAGCGGGCTCTGGCTGTGGGGGCGGTGGTGATTGGCGTGAACAACAGGTAGGTGCATGTATATGTATAAGTGTGTATATATATATACATATATATGCTTTCTACATATGCGTTTTATGTTTATGTGGTTATATATATATCTATCGATATACATATATGCATGTATGCACATATACGTTTCTTCTCAATTGCATCTTTTTGTTAAGTTAGCTTGATTTTGAGACCCGAGTTGACCACGCGTAGTGGGAAAGTATATTTTAGCCATGAGGCTACACTATGATACGTTGAAGTGGTATCGTATATTATATTTTGAGTACATTCGATTGTTTATGTCGCTCTCCCATCATGAAGACGAGAGTATTAAAGCTTGCTGATACGGTTATGTGCCTAAGATTTTATTTTTATTCTATTTAAATTTGAATGTATATCAAAAGTATGTGCATACATACGACAAACCGCTTTGCCGATGATAATTGCTGCCCTGTGTATTTGTATGTAGAAACATATGAACCATAGGAATATTAAATCCCTGGTTGCCGATAATGTTCCTACATAACACACCTTTGTACGTATTTGTATGTAGAAGCATATGAACCATATAATTATATCATCTCTGGTTGCAGATATTGGTTTCTAACACGCCTTTGTACGTACACATACACACCTTATCCCAGGAATCTGACGGATTTCCAAGTAGATCTCAACACGACCTCGTCTTTACTCGCAATGGTGCCCGAGAACGTTATCCTCATGGCACTGAGTGGCATCACCTGTCGCGCTGATGTGGCCCTCTACGAAGCCCAAGGTATGAGGATGAGCTTTTCGAACACGAGACGTATCATATGTATGTATGTATATATATATATATGTGCGTTTGCGTGTCATGATAATGATAATCCCATTATATAACATGTCATGTCTTGGCAGGACCTTAACCAGTATAGTCTCTCCCAACCTCTGCAGATTCTATTGTAGGTCTACTGACCGTCGTTTACGTACGGTATATAACATGTTCCTATATCTTATTCCAGGATTCTTCCTGCAAAGACCAACCAGTATAGTCCCAACCTCTACAGATTCTATTGTAGGTCTACTGACAGTCGCTTACGTACGATATAGAACATGTTCCTATATCTCATTCCGGGACTCTTTTCGGCAGTGCACAACAGATGTGTGTACATACCATTCTAAGGTACCGAACATCTCTCTACACATCTGATTTTGGTAGTACTTAGTACTAAACACCGTACATACACACATTCTCTCTACACACCTGCTTCTGGTCGTACTTACCCCCTCTCTCTCTCCGCACATCTCCTCGTAGGTGTGCACGCCATCCTTGTGGGTGAGTCGCTGATGAGGGCGCCTGACACTCGCGTGTTTATGCGTGAGCTGCTCAGTGTGATGGCCTCGGCTGAAGAGCCTGTGGAGATGCCGACCACACACCGAAGGTATTGGCCCTATACATATTGACCAATGCTCATAGCTACCATTCACCATATCATTCATATCTCACTCATAACTACTATCCACCATTCATCCAACCCACCCCATTCAACTGCAGAGGGTGTAAGAAAGGACTTAAAGTACCCAGTTTAGATTGTCATTTTCGAGGAATGGCTGTTTTTATTACATTCGGTGTGATATTTGCTTACTGTATATAAGCCTCGTGTGACTTTAGGGTGAGCTCGCATATCGGTATGTATCGCTGTTCTAAACGTCCACAACTCAAGTACGTGCTTTCATTCAAAACCGGCTCGTTGCAGAATCATTTCTATTTATATTACCTCTGTTCTATTTATAAAACCCGTGTGAAAGTGTGGCCTCACCACCATTGCCACAGCGCTGGCATTGGCGAGTTGTGTTTTGTATACTACATCCTACTTCAAAACTAACATCTCACAAATCGCCTTTTTGCATAGTCTGATTTCTATTTATATATCGTATGTTCTATTCATAGAAGCCGTGTGGTGTGTGGTCTCTCCACCATTGCAACTGCGTTACCTGATTTTCTATTTATATATCGTATGTTCTAGTTATAGAACCCGCGTGAAAGTGTGTGGCTCTCCACCATTGCAACTGCGTTACCTAATTTTTATTTATATATCGTATGTTCTATTTATAGAACCCGCGTGAAAGTGTGTGGCTCTCCACGATTGCAACTGCGCAATCTGATTTCTATTTATATATCGTATGTTCTATTTATAGAACCCGTGTGAAGGTGTGTGGTCTCTCCACCGTCGAGGCTGCCCTCACAGCTGCCACTGCGGGGGCCGACCTTTGTGGACTGATCTTTGCGGAGAAAAGCCCCAGATGCGTAACCATGGCAACGGCGCGCACTATCGTACACGAAGTCAAACTCTCCATGGGACATGTACCGGGGAGTATGGCGTGTTGTGATGATGTAGGTAGTAATAACGGTATTAGTGCACGGACACAGACTCGCTTAGAGATTCTGCTGAACACTCGACGGCCGCTGTTTGTGGGCGTCTTCCAGGACCAGCCAGTCGACTTTGTGAATGAGGTATGTATGTAAGCACGCGGACGCCTTTGCCCATTGTGTTTCTTTATATATTTTACTAATTAATGTTGTATATATGTGTATCTAGTTCGCATATATATATATATAAAAGTAAATTTATTTCTCGCTTCTCGCAGCTCTATCCGTCACGTACACCCTTAATCGTAATAGTCTCATGGCATACGCTCCATATATACCCCATCTCATTGTATCTCATTCACCGAATCCGCTCTCTGCGCCACAGATGGTACGGGAGTGTCAACTCGATCTCGTGCAACTCCACGGCTCCGAAGACAATGCCTACGCCAATCAAATTGTCGCACCGTGCATCCGAGTAGTGCACGTGGGTCCCGACGACTCACGCGATGACGTCATTGCATCTATTACGTCATCGAGCACGTGTCAGAACGTTGCGTTGACACTTCTTGACACTAAAGTGACGGGGTCTAGTATGTCAGGGGGCGCTGGGGTGACCTTTGACTGGACATTGGCTGCTGCTGCAGGGAAGGCCGGCTTTGAAGTCATGTATGTATCGACAAGTGGTACCAACTGATTCGAGGCTATAACCTAAACCCCTACACTTTAAAATCGATTTGAGCGCATATCATAGCTGCGTATTGTGTATCTTTTTAGGGTTTTAGGGTTTAAATTGATCGATAGCAGTATATATTTTGATGTATATTTTTGCCGTTATGAGTGTGAATGGGTTTGGTTCTCATCTGTTAGTACAGCTCGTGTTAGATGTATGGCTTTTGAGCCTATATCATAGCTGCTTATTGTGTATCTTTTAATCGATAGCAGTATATATATTTGATGTTTATCTCTGCCGTTGTTATGCGTGTGTATGGGTTAGGTCTCATCTGATAGTAATGCTTGTGTTCGATGTATGGCTGATCTTTATGGACTTGCGCTTCATCTACAGCCCAGCTAGTGTATCCGATCGTTGTATGGTGTGATGCAGCCTTTACCATAAACTATCTACGATCACCTCTCCATGCTTGCGTGTGGTAATTTGTGAATGCTTATCCGTGACATAGTGTTTATTCATGTGGATTCATTCTACTTTGCGATGCATCTCTATCTTACTTTCTTCCGTGTGTTCTTTTGGTTTATATCAATGCCAATACGCCTATGAATTCTAATCATTGACCCAATTTAACCCATGTTTTGATATACTAGGATGGCCGGCGGTCTCACACCTGACAACGTGCGTAGTGCTGTGGATCCATCAAATCCATTTGCTGTCGATGTGTCGAGTGGAGTCGAAACAGACAAAGCGAAGGACTTAGACAAAATTCGCCAGTTTGTTAGGAATGCTACGCGTCATAAGTGATAAGCACTTCTTCACGAAGCAAAGAGATAGAGTGGCTTGTTAAATACATGTATTTTTTTAATGTTACATAAGATAAAGACTGTTGTATGGAGAAAATGTTGCTCGTAACCTATGCGTTGTTTTAGACGGTTAACTAGTTTGTTCAGGGTGAGTTCGACAGCGTTCAATGCGGCTCGATTGCTCGTAGCATAGCCTTCTAAATGAGGCAAAGCTATTATCAAATGGCAGAAATCCTGCAATATTTGAACGGAGCATTCGCATACAGAACGTTTATTCGCTATCACAGCCGATGCTTTCCTGGTGTCTGGAACTGTGTTTGAAACAATTGAGAAGCATTCTTGTTGCCATACTATCAACGTCAGAATTGTTGTCGTTAGAATTTCTTATACCCAGTACAGCACCTTACAATTAAAAAATAAACTGATTATAATAGTTGCCTTTTATTTTTAATAGTTATCTAAAATACCAGCACCAAGACTGTGGCCTTAGGCACGAACATATCAGCAGCTGAAAGTGCGATTTGCACTGAGTGACTTGAAAACATTCGAGTTGAAAACTGAACCTGTATCAAAATTATTGTTCTCAACTTTTCAAACTATCGTCGATACCAGCAGTACATCACGGCAGCAGCTGAAACTGCTTTCATGCTATTAAACTGGTTGGGAACATAAAATTCGACACACCTCCAGTATCAGTACATCGGTCAATGGGGACAACCGCATATCCTCCGGCGACATGTGTTTTATTTTAAAGCCTTCCTATTAGTACTGTCACAGCAGTGGATGGCCTCTATCCAATACTACCGACACCAGTACGTCTACTGCCATACCTTGCACCGGCTCTCACATTGTGGCGTGGAACACGGCAGATGTCCTGAATGCACCTGGAGATATCACACGATGTGGGAGGCTGGAGAGTTGAGATTTGTCTTGTCAGGACATTTGTGTGAGTCAGGTCACGGTGTGAGGGAGTAGCTCGCACGATCGGTCTTTTGTGCATCCAGATTTCTCCCCTTCAGTTGTTGTGGAGACAATACTGTGCTACATATGTACTGGACTTTCATGCGCGCCACATTAGGTGTGGAAAGGTTTACAACGGTGAGTATTTTAATGACTATTTCAAATATATAGTTCGCATCGTCCGAACTCTTCTTATCCAACGCAATATGTGCGCCTACACCAACACTCGGAAGGCTTCTGTGCCATAGTTACAGGTATTAGATCAAAGTACGTTTATGGTAAACAAATACACAACGCTGTAATTCGGCAATTTGCGTCCACATTCAACCCCACATATAAATACGGGTCCTGTACAATATCGAACCGCTTTGCTCAAGGGAATGCTACAGGCTATTTGCTATTCAACGGAGGTCAACTCGTTATCTCGACGGGAAACATGCGGTAAATTAACCGTCGATCGTGTATATATAGAAGTATTCCTTTTCCAAGACCTATGTATACGATGTCGGAAAGAATTTTTATATACACTCACCGAATAGTACTGGCATACGGTTCAATTTGAGTTCATTATAATATTTATTGTTTAATTTTCTTCAACTTAAACTATATATTAACATTCGGTTAACATGCATCTGCAATCTTTGATTTTGCACTGTCCAGGTCCGATACTATCATCTCAAGTTCCTCAAATACCGCAACGAATTCGTCCACAAGCGCTTGTGCCTTGTCTGCGGCTCCTGTGTCCATTATCGCACCGATATTCACCTTCCCACCGAGGGTAAACATCATACCGAACGAAACACTTTTTCATTGAGGAGACCATGCTGATATTATTTCAAGTAGTTTTCCATTGAAATACATACGCTCCGAAGGGCCTGGCACGTTACTTAAAACACATGATGTTTTGCTGGCTAGGTAGTCCAAGAGAGTCTGATTAAAAAAATATGGGAACAAGTTTGCCACGAGTGCGATGTTAGCGAAGAAACCTTTCGAGATGGGTATTGTTTTCATTCCCTTCATCACTGGCCTCATCATTATATTTGAAAAAAAAATATTGATTCATGCATTCAGCTTTGTTGAGCAGTTGAGCCTGGAGGTCAGTGTGAAGTGTGAACAGTGAAAACAGTGAACTTGTGAGGCGTGAGCCGTACATAGGCCCGTGGGCCGTGGCCCGTGACTGTATTTATTTTATTTTAAAACATTATTTACATATGTATGTGTAACTATGTATTTAGTATTTTTGGCCCAGGGGCCAGGGCGGCAGGGCCCCAGTCGGCCAGCAGCCCAGGGCCCAGGGCCCAGGGCCCAGGAAGCTTTTTGTTTTTTGTTTTTGTTTACAAAAGGTATAATTATTGCTGTACATGGTTTTTTTGTTTTAAAACAAAAAAACAAAATGCTTGACCTGGCTCTACATATGTATTTAATAGTCTGTAGAGGCCGAGGGTACCTACTGTCTACCAATAAATAAATCTTTTCAACCTCTATCCGGAAATTCGGATGGCAGAGTTGCTGAGTTGACTCTTTGAGTCTTGACAGCTTACAACAACTGTACAGAAATTCGCCAGGACGGACAATTTGAATTCAGAATTCCGCAGGATCGGAATCGCGGGTTATCTTAGAACTACGTAAGGGATACGATCTATAGACGCATTTGTAGGGGTTTGCATTCAATACTTTGTCTACTGAAAATAGCTCCTAATAGTACATGAGTGCAAATGTATTTAAGGCATACTACGAAGCAGAGATTGGTATCATATCACCATTGTCAACTATATTGTTAATT